ATGAAGAATTGGGCAGAGGAGGGCGAGGGAGGGGATGAGGGCAATCGCTCGTCGAAAGCCATGTTGATCTCTCGAAGTCCGTCCTCAACCAATCAGAATCGTCGCGTAGTAGGGATCACTTCTTACACAACGGTTCTTCTTGGCTAGATGGGGTAAAGAGAGGATCGACCGGGTTTTCGGGTGCAGGATTAAAAGCGGGAGGAAGAAGAGTGCGAAGGATAGCGCGAAACGGATCCAAGATTCTGATGATCAAGAAAGAGAAAAAGGGCGCGCGTGGGGAAGGAGAGAGAAAAACAGTTACAGGGGAAGGGAGCGAGAAAGCATGTGCGAGCGAGGGAGGGCGATGAGAAGAGCGCGAGAAGGAAGGAGGAGGGAGCTCGTATGCATGGCGCCGAACAAAAAAAATGGGCACCAAAAACAGTTGCAGTTTTTCTGAGTTTCTACGCTAATTCGAAAATTGAAATCACCAAATCCGTGCGCAAAGTAGGCGCGGGAAAAGAAAGAAAGTCCCACGTCTATTCATATTCCTACAAAATTCCCAGAGTTTTCCATGTTGAGGCCGAGAACATTCACGCGTGAAAGGCACGTCGAATTTCGTTAATTCTGGAATTCCTAACCGTCGAGCCAAATTTCGAGCGCGCTCGCTAAGGCGCGCGTAATTTCCCATGCATTTCCGAACGAAATTTCAAGAATCACTAGTGCTGACAAAAATACAGGTCTCAACGGGGTACCTTTAATCAAAAGAAACAGAGAGGGGTTTTCAAGGGCCGGGCAAGACACATCTTGATACGACAGAAACAAGGGGAGGAAAGGGGTCCGGAAGATGGCGCAGGTCCGGAAGCTGGTACGTCACACACCACTTCAGATGCCGCCGATTTTTTTTTTCAACGGTGCCCCACGCCGCGCGGCCCCTCCGAGTTTAGCTTGTGGCAACAAAAACCTTTCTGCAAGGCTGGGGCCGTGTACTTGCGGTTTAAAGCACCAGTACACCACATATCGGCTCGCGGGAGGCCACCGATTTTTTTTTTCAATGGCACCTCGAGTCGGGTGGCGCCTCCGAGTTTTGCTTGTGGCGACAAAAAACTTTCTGCAAGGCTGGGGCCGTGTACTGGCAGTTTAAGTCCTGCGCATTCACCGACCGAGTGCATGCTCATCCTTTGTAGATCTATTTATACATAGAATGTGTACATGTAGATATATTTTCACATATAGACAGTTTCCTGAGCCTTCCAGGATTTACAGGGAAATTATTCTTGATACTTTTGAGTTAGTAAATTAGTAATTGGCTACTTGTTCCACTTCATTATGATCATTTATCTTGGCTACTTGTTCCACTTCATCATCATCATCATCATCATCATCATTATCATCATCATCATCATCATCATCATCATCATCATCTATCGTAGACTATTTCCTTTCTCAATCTCTTATATAGTATAACCTTGGATAGAATACACCACATCTTTCTGGACATGGTTGCACTCCATAGGTCAAAGAAAGATACCTGTCCATGTCCTTATTTTTCTAGATAATGACAAACTCTACTCATGAAGGTTGCTCAACAGGGTACCTAGTAGTTACAGACAGGTTGTCAGCAAAGTGGGAGTGTGGGTCAGTGAGTGAGGGCATACTTACACTAAGATTTTTTAAGATGTAAATAATTGGATTACGGCTAGTCTTGGATGTAAATAATTTGGATTACGGCAAGGGGAGCATCTGGGTGACATCGACGGAGAAAGGGCGCAGCGCTGCCGGGAGCGCTGCGCCCGACCAGCATGAGCCGGCCGAATCGGCATTGGGTGCGCGGTAACGCAGGGAGAACAGAGGGTGATGACGCGCACTGGGAGCTCATTAGGTGAGGTTGGCGCGTGGCAACAGCTGATGGATAGCGATCAGGGTTGATGGGATGTGCACAGTCGCGGTGGTACGAGGACCCATGGTGTTCGTCATGCTCACAAGGTGAAGTTGGCGCGTGGCAACGGTTGAGGGAAAGCGATCGGGGTTGATGGGATGTGCACAGTGGTGGTCGTCATGTGTGAGTTGGGGGTTGGTTCTTTTCCTTCATCTGGAGCGATAATATGTGGTGGCTGGTCCGTGAGTATGATGGGAGTGTCGGTTGAAACCTCGTCTTTCTGCATCTTGCTATAGCGTGAAACTTGCGACATCACCAAGAGCAAGAATAACAGGAGTGGGAGATCACGAACGAAAGGGGCAACGGTTTGGTGTTAGTGCTGAGGTCTTTTCTCCCTTTTTCTTCAACAGGGTGGTAAGTGGATATGGACTATGAATCCCTCATGGCCGCGGTCACCGCGGGCACGATCGCGGATTGCGGTCGCGACCGCGGGCCCGCGGTCATGACCGCGGTCCGCGGTCAAGAAAAAAAAAAAAATAATAATAATAAATAATAAATTTCTGAAATAAATATATGTTATGCCAAAAAATAAACTGAACAACTTTTGCCTTGGGGTCATATCAAAACTCGTTACCAAATTTGAGATAAAAAACAAACAAAATCCTTTATTTTTCTTACTAAAAAAATGAAGTAAAGAACTTTTGCCTGAGGGATTTTTATTTTTTATTTTTATTTTTAATCCAAAACGAAGTCAAAAAATAAAACTAAAAATATAAGCTTGTAGAGCGCAAAAAACCCTACAACCCCATATTTTTTTTTTTTTTTTTAGCCTATTATCCTATGAATTAAAAATGTCGGGGTTTTCCGACCGCGGCCCTCGCCCGCAGCCGACCTCGGCGGTCGGGATCCCGACCGCGGGCCGAGATTGACCCCGCGGTCACGACCGCGAGGGATTCATAGGATATGGATGGATGCTTGAATCCCCTGTGGCGCCTTGCGAACGGGTTTGGTGAGGTAGTGCCACACCATCTTTTCAGTCTCTTTTGGAAAATGGAAGATGGCCGCCGAGGTTTTCGGTGCTAGTGTTGCTAAGAGCCTTGGTGCTAGCACTGGGAGGTGTCCTCCCCTGAAGATGTTGGGGTAGGGTTTGAGGGGGCTGTGGTAAGAGGGGGGCTGTTGTAGAAGAAGGGAGAGGGATTATTTGATGTTGCTCCTATTGTTGCGTGCTGGATTAGTGTTGGATTAGTCCGGAGGGTCATACTTACTGATTACGTTCTCATGTACGTACCACTTCCCATGATTAGTTAATCTAGTTTTCAATTCTAATCAAGATTTTAGGTATCACTGCCAATCATCAGTGATTTTTTATAGATAGGATTTGCTTTCTTCACGGTCTGAAATATAATTCTGAAATATCCCATGATTGTTCTAGTCTGAATATAAATTTGAAATAATTCCTGTCGATAGTTTGTCGGATAAATCAACTGAGATTTTTCATAGTATTGGTCGAAAGTCCTTCTTAGGGCATCTGATGGTATATCCCTATGGTAATTTGCATGTCCGTTAAATTCCAAAAAAAATCTATAAATTCGTAGCTTGTCTTTAAACTCCAGGAAATTTTCTTAATCTTACACGAAGTTGTGGTTGTTTTTCAATCGATCTTCGACCTTGTACTCAGTCCACATTTGTTTCTAGTTTCTGTGCATGTCCGTTAAATTCCTAAAACCCCCTATAAATTCGTACCTTGTCTTTGAACTCTAGGAAATCTTCTTAATCTTACACGAAGTTGTGGTTGTTTTTCAATTGATCTTCGACCTTGTACTCGGTCTATTTATTTCTAGTTTCTATGGGCCTCGCGATTTTTTTGAGGGTTTTGTCTGAGATGGTCTCAAACAATTGGCTAAAATTCGCTTCTAAAGTTTCGTGACGGTTCTGTTGAGCTTTGGGTGTGCCGGACCCACCGGGATGGCGGTCCGACAGGATGGAGTAGAAGGGTAGACGAAGGAGGAGGTAGAGATGGAGCTGGAAGGGATAGCGCAACTCCGACGCAAACTCCACACGCACGTACTCCAAGATCTGCAAAAGTGAAGAATCCCGAAAAAACAGAAAACTGTTGGGGTATACCCCCAGCGGACTGACTGACTGGACTGGACTGGACTGGTACCGACAGTGGTACCGGGCAGGACTAGAACAACACACGGCCTGTGGGGTCAGGCCACGGCCTGGTCCCACAGGCTGAACTGGGCAAATAGCCAAATAGGCCCTGGCTGTAGGCCAGGGCAGATGAAGGCCCGCTGCACGATCCTCAAACCTGTAATGGATCGCAAAAGCCATAAACACGCTATCCGCAAAAGCAGCGGAACTCTGCATAAAGAAAGCTGAGAAATCTAGGATGCGGAGCAAGCTCCATGCGGAGTCCATGCGATGCATCCTAAGCTACATAATGTCAAAAGAAAAGCAAATGTCTGGTATACATATCCTAGCTAACAGCAGAAAATGAAATGTAGTATGATACAATCTTAAAGTCCTGGAGGCAGTGGCCTAAGTGCTGAAAAGAAAAGAGCAATATGTTACAAGATAATGTCATGTCGCTGAACCACTAAGAGTGGGATGATCTCAGAGGGGGTGAATGCAGCCTAAGAATCGAAACTCCTAAGGGCAGTCACACATGAAGGTGGGATAGGTCATCAGGCTCAAGGTGGGAGAGTGGTAGCGAAACAAAACCAATGACCCTAACAGATAGACCATCAAGGCGGGTAATGCTCGACAAAAGGGTGACACCATGCAGGGTCGACCATGAAAAGGGGAGCCTGGAATAGGATGGAGCTATGCCGAACTGGAGGCATGCAATAGCCGACGCTAGGGTGATGAGGGCAGTGGGTGAGGGAAACATGCACACAACTCACCGACTGGGAGAGGGAGCTAGATCTGGGAGCAAGGAAGCCAAGATAACGCTACGGTCCCAATGCCTATGCGATACCAAGGGAGAGTCAAACTCAAAGAGACCCAGCTAAGTGAGAACCATCATGCGACAGAGGCAACGTAGTATACAGGGTAGGGTGGTGACGTGAAGTAGTCACGTCCAAAGTAGTTGAAGTCGTCGAAGTGGTTGATGACGTCGATGAAGTAGCAGTCGAGTCGATGTCGATGTCGAAGCAGAGCCGCAAAACGCTGACATATTGAAGAAGAGCTAATGATGGAGTACCTAATGGCGTGAGTCAATGGGGAAAGATAGAGGATAAGAGTGTCAGTCACCGTAACGCGAAGGGCGACGATGAGTGCGCTATGGACGCTCGGAGGCGACCGTCTGCGGCTGAGGAACGGCCTCAGAGGGAGCGGGCTCGTCCTCAGCAATCTCCTCAGCCGGAGGAGGAGGAAGAGGGTCAGTCGGCTGAGTAGAAGCAGATGTCTCAGCACGACGAGCACGATCATATGCACGCACCAACATCCTGGTGTGCTGCAAGTGCTTGAGGGGCTCCCAAGTAGCCTCCTCATCAGGGTAGCCCTTCCAACGCACAAGGTACTCGATGCGTGGAGGGGTATCGTCGGTAACTCGGCGTGATACGATGTCGGAAACAACGAACTCCTCGTGACCGTCCACCATGATAAGTGGAGGGCGCTCATAAGGGTGTCCGACGAAATGCTCGGGTGATCTGCGATAAGGACGCAGCAAGGAGATGTGGTAAACATCGTGTACGCGAGCTTGTCGAAGGTAATCAGGTAGCTTCACACGGAAGCTGACCGGACTAGCGGCAGTACCAAAACCGACGGCCTGAAGGATGCGGCATGGACCGAAGAAACGACGCCTGAACTTGGGAAGCGTATCTGCTTCGAGTTGTAAGTGGCATGCGTCGACGAGCACATCGTCACCGACTTTGAATGGATGATCCATTCGTGATCGGTTCGCTCGTGCGGCCATGCGAGTCTGGGAGTCGGCTAAACTCTCGTGTGCGCGCTTCATAATCGCCGCCATGTGGGCGATCCAGTCGTCAAGCGCAGGGCACGAGTGTCTGGGCGCAACCGCGATGGTCGTAGGAAATACGCTGGTACGCGAGGGTGGTAGCCGAGGTCGCAATAGAATGGCGACATACCCGTGGCTGGCGAAACAGCGTGGTTGTACGCAATCTCCGCGTGGGCTAAGTGTAAGTCCCACTGCTGGTCATCCCTAACAAACTTTTGGAGGATATTACCGAGAGTTTTGTTGGTGACCTCAGTCTGACCATCCGTCTGAGGGTGGTAAGACGATGAGAAGTGGAGCTGGGATCCGTACACCTCGTGTAGGCGTCGCCAGAATGTGCTAGTAAAGCGCGGGTCACGGTCGGAGATGATGCTCTGAGGTAAGCCGTGATCTCTCACGAATCGGTCGAAGACGATGTCAGCGACCTCACAAGCGCTAATGCAATAGCGGCACGGGACAAAACGTGCACGCTTTGTGAAGCGATCGACGACGACCAAGATAGCATCATGACCGCGCTCAGTGGGTGGGCGGAGGGCACCAATGAAATCCATCGAGATGGACTGCCAACGACCCTCAGGTATGGGTAGGGGCTGAAGTAACCCATACGGAAGGTGGTTCGCACTATTCACCTCCTGGCAGGTAGGATACTCCTGGATGTAGGCTTTGACAAAGTCATTGGACTTCGGCCAGACGTATAGGCGGCAAACACGAGCCAACTCTTGTGGAAACCCATATGACCGGCAACTGCCTGGTCATGGAACTCTGCTACAGCTTAGACGCGGAGCTGTCCAGTGGAGGGAACGCAGATACGTGGTTCTAGCTGACCAGATCTGCTATGCCAGTACACAAGGCCGTTCTACCCGAGGGAGTAGGAAGGAACGGTCTTGCCACTCCGCAGTGTCGTGTGGATGACGCGATAATCGGGGCAGTGGCGGTACTAAGTGCGATACGCGTCGATCACCGACTGATCAACAGTGGCGATGAAGATGACAGCTAGATGGATGGGTTCCTGATTGTGATCAGGACGACGGGACAAGGCATCGACGACGCGGTTCGTTTCACCCATGATGGGCTGAGTGGTGAAACTGAACTCGGATAAGTCACGCCACCAGCGTGCCTGTCGAGGGGAAAGCTTAGGCTTCGTGAGGAAAGCCTGGACAACTGAGTTGTCCGTGCGCACCGTGAAGGGCGCCCCTTGCAGATAATGACGCCAATGTCGGGTAGCATAAACTACTGCGATAACCTCACGTTCATCGGCAGTGTAGTTTATCTCGGCAGGCAGTAGCTGACGGGAGTAGAAAGCGATCGGGCAATCCCCAGCACGAGCCTTGACAGTCCCATCCTCCACGATGGTCGGGGAGTAAGTAACAGGAAGACTGTCAGTGGAGGGAAGTGGTGGCAGGGTAGGCGTCAGTCGAGAAGCAGTGTCAGCAGGAAGGGGGGGGAAAGGAGGAGCATGGGGGCTAGGTGAATCTGGAGGAGAGGGAAACACCTGAGAAAGGACAACTCCTACTGCAAAGTCTGACGCATCGGTGGTGACGATAAAGGGACGATCAAAATCGGGAAGGCGAAGAACCGGCGCACAGGTCACCATCTTCTTGAGGGCGCGAAAGGCGTCCTCGCACAGAGGTGTCCAAAACCACGGCGGGTTCTTCCGGAGGAGGGTAGAGGTAAGGACGTAGGAATACCTAGCGTCTCCCTGGATAAAATTACTATAGTAGCTGGTGAGGCCTAGGAAACTGCGAAGCTGCTTGGCAGATGTGGGGACGGGCCACTCTGCAATAGCAGTGATCTTTGCGTCGTCCATGTGGAGACTCTGGTCAGACACATGGTGTCCTAGGAAGTCCACTCTGCGCTGGGCAAAGCGGCACTTACTGAGCTTGGCATAGAAGCCATGCTTGCGTAAGCGTTGTAGGACATCGCGGAGGTGTCTGAGATGGTCTTCTAAGGTACGACTGTAGACCAAGATGTCGTCCAGGTATACGAGAACGTATTCTTCAAGGATGTCCCTGAAGATGTCGTTCATCGCCGTCTGGAAGGTGGCGGGGGCATTGGTGAGGCCGAATGACATCACTGTGAACTCGTAGTGGCCGAAGCATGACCGAAAGGCGGTCTTCGGCTGATCCTCTGTGGCAACGTGGATCTGGTGGTAACCGCTACGAAGATCGATCTTTGTGAAGAAGCGGTTGCCTGCCAAACGATCAAACAACTCATCCGCGCGAGGCATGGGATAGTTGTTCTTAACCGTGTAACGGTTAAGGCCGCGCTAGTCGATGCAGAGGCGAAGAGTTCCGTCTGCTTTGCGAGCAAAGAGGACAGGTGCACCCCAAGGGGAGTTACTGGGTTTAATGAAACCCAATCGAAGGAGTTCCTCAAGCTGACACTTGAGTTTCGTCGCCTCTGGGATCGAGAGTCGGTACGGTGCCTGATGGTGAACACGATAGTCAGGCACGAGCTGGATAGAATGCTCAACACCGCGCATCGGGGGAATCCTGTTGTATGAGAAATACGGGGGAAAGACGTCGCGGTACTCTCGAATCAGGTCGCGAACGGCCGGCTCTAAGTCTGCCGTGAACCGTGTGAGTTCCTCAGTGTCTGCATCGGCACGAGACGTATGTCTGGACTCGACAGTCGACGGCGCAGAGGCCTGGGACGTGGAGGGGGTATCCGCAGGCTGACGGGTGGACGTAAAGATGGGAGTCACGAAGATGGAGGAAGGGTCAGGGGGATCGGGCTCTAGAGAGATGAGCTCAACCTCGGGACAAAGTGGATCATAGCGAAGAAGATCCATGACGTTCACTGAGTAGAACGTGACGTCCTCCTGTCGTATGAAGTGAGCAAACTGACGAGGGGAAGTGAACGCGATGTCGGGGTGGGACCCTGAGGGACGAGGGTCCTGGGGAGGTAGGTCGAGCGGGGTGTCGCCCGTGGTTCCAATGAACGGGATGCGATGAGTCTGACCACACTTCGTTTTGAGAACGAGTGTCTCGGTCGCCCATTCGGCCTCTGTGCTACGGAACCAGCGAGACCAGGGAGTGCCAAGGATAAAGTCGTACCCGGTCTCCAGCACTTCGAAGAAGTATGCGAAGGAATTGTAGGGCCTAGGCGTCTGGGTACTATCAGATGGCTGGAGGGTGAGGGAGAAGTGGAGGTCACGGACCGTCTGATCGAAGAAGTGTTGCGTCTTGTTCTCTCCGAGGGTAACGGAGATAGGAGAGCGAAACCCAGAGGTAGCTAGGCGAGCTTCCTCAACCACTCGAGGGTAAACGAAATCTCCCTGCGAGCCAGAGTCCCATAAAGCGCGGTACAACCTCGTAGATGTCCCTAGGCGAATAGGGATGATGGGTAGGGTGCGATCAGGGTCAGAGAGCAGAGCGAGAAGACGACGCAGGACGTTGATGTGCCTCGTGAGTCGCTCCTGACGAGCCTGCAGAATGCTCAAGTCCAGGAGAGATGACACAACATCATCGCGAGTCGCCAGCTGAGCGCTACAACGGGCTGTGCGAATGGCGCGACGTGTCGGAAGTCTCAGGGGAGAAGCGCTAGATGTAGCGGTCTGCTGGGAGGCAGACGGTACCTCGACAGACGACGGGGCAGAAAGAACTGTGTCTGTCGTGTCCTGAGGGTCCTCTGGTGGGGTAGCCAAAAGGGAAAACCGCGACTCGGTGGTCGGGAAGCCGACTACGTGCGAGGCCTCAGGGGAACACTGCACCGTGGCTAGGTGGATAGGCCTGGCCGGGCGGGGCCTGGGGGGGACTGAGATCGGCGCTGACGAGAAATGTCAGCGTAGTACCAATCGAGGGCGGTGTGGTATGGACACCGTGAGGAGGTGTGTCCATCCTGGCGGCAACGAAGGCAGCCGCGTCGGGCCTCGAGGGCGGCACGCTCCTCGGGGGATAGAGCTCCGCGAGGAGGGACAAAACCCTGCGGGAGGTTAATCTGAGGAACTGTGGGTGTGCGGGCGCCAGCCTGTGCAACCCGACTGCGTGCACGACCCATGGCAGACATGGCCATCTGCAAGCGCTCGGCCATTGGGATAGTGTCGTCATCCAAATGGTACTGGATGACGTCCTGAAGCTCGATGTCCTTGGGGGCGTCCCCAATGGTAGGATCGAGCTCGGCTGAGGCGTCCTCTCATACTCGAGAGAACTGTAGTGCCGAGAGAATGGCGCTCTAGGTCGAGCCGGGCGACGAAAACGACCAGCAAACGAGGAGCGGCCACGGGTGGTACCCCGAGACTGGGTGGTAGCGGCTGGCCGCGAAGAGGATGGGGCGACGGAGAAGCGACTGCACATCCTCTGGTACTGACGCGCAACCTCGTATGCCTGCTCCGCGAAAGAGAATGATCGCCTCCATAGCTCTAGGCGGTAGTCAGTCGGCAGGCTGACAAGGAACCGGTCGGTGAGCGTGACCTCCGGTAGGAACGTCTCGTCACAAACAAGGCGAGCGTCCTGAAACACCCGGATGTGACGCTCCAGGTCGGTCGGTACAGAGGACCCGGACCATCTGGTCTGGGTGACGCGGTCTAAGGCGTCGGTGGCGTCATGACGAGCGCCGAAGCGGTCCTGAAGGAAGGCCGCGAAGTCGGCCAGAGTGGGGACCTCACCCACGTGGAGGCGTTAGGTATAATGATCCTCCCACGCAGTGGAAGGGCTACCTCGCAATTTGGTTGCTAGCACATCGCACCACAACTCCTGACGGGTGGTCGTTATAGAGAGTGTACGTGTTGCTATCTGCAACCAGCGAGAGACACGAGATGTGCCATCATACTCGGGAATGTCCGTGGTCCGCACAAGAGGATGTCCACTGTGCTGATGGCGGGGGGAGAGAGATCGAGGCGAGTGCACTGCGGCGGCGTAAGTCGAGGCCGCTGCTGGGGTGGAGGTGAGGGAAGGCTGTGGGCCGTGGCCGCTGGCTGATGGACCAGCCGACGAGGAGGCAACGACCGCGGGCAGCTGTTCCGAAATAGCCAGGTAAGAGGGAAGAGGCTGAGGAGCAGGTCGAGGGAAACGAGCCTGCATCATGGGGACCGAAGGGGTGGTCGAGGAGGAAGGGTGGGCAGTCTGTGATGGCTGAGGCTGTCTCAGAGCGAGAATCTCCGCCTGAGCCTGCGCGATGGTGGCCTGTAAAGTGGCCACTCGCTGGGTGCGCGGGGTCGGAGGTGGAGGGGGCGGAGCGGGTCTCCCAGTGGGAGGAGGAATCCCAGCCTGGGCGGTACCCTGCTGTGGGGGCGGGGGGACAAAGGCAGGAAGAAGAGGTCGGAGCCGTATTGCCACGACCGGTGCGGGAAGCTGGGAAGCAACACCGGTGTGGGTCGATGAAACTGCTGGGCCAGAAGGCAGTACCTAAACCATAGCACCTACGGCAGTAGTAGAGACGGTAGGGGCGGCCGTGACCGGAAGAACTGCCGCAATGGACGGGGTGGTCTGAGCGGCAGCAGCACTCGCCACCGCTGAAGGGGAGTGCTGGGCCTGGCCCGCAGAGGAGGGGTAACCATGGTGACTCCGTCTCCGGAGTCCTGGGGAGCCGGAATCGGAGACGGTAGGGGAAGGGGTGTGAGAGCGGTGGGGAGAGCGATGAGGGGAGCCCTTGAGGCGGTTGACGTCRAGAGCTAGCGCATTGATTTGCGCTTGCAACGGTCCAAGCGTACTAAGTTGTGCCTGGATTGCTATAAGGACGGCATGAAGGTCCATGGTGTCCACATGGGCCTGATCATGAGCCGTTGACGGCGCGCTGACCTGGGGTGTGGACTGCGCCGCGGCGATCTCCTCGGATGAACTCCCTTCCATGGCCGGAAGGGGAATGGAGGTAGTCCTTAGAGGAGTGTGTGGGGAAAGGGGCCCATCGGTAAGAGGAAGGGGACCGCGGGAGCGGAGTGAGTATGTGTGAGTCGGCTCGCCTCGGATTTTGCGGGTCGCGCGTGAGACGAAGGCGCTGAACCGCTCGAGGGGGGAGGAGCCGTCCAGGTCCAGGGTGCCGGACGGGAGGAGGCGGGAGAGTAGGAAGGGGGGCGGGAGTTAGGAGAACCCTAAACCCTAGAAAACCCTAACCGGAGTTTAGGTGGTTAGGGGAGGGTAGCGGCGATCTAATCAAGAAAAAAAATAATATGGAGGGGAGGGGGAAAGAAAATAGAATAAACAATAAAATTTTGAGATAAAAATAAAATAAAAGAAGAAATAAAAATAAATAAAGAAATAAAATGTAAAGAGCGAGGGAAGAGGACTTATTTATTTTTTTGAAAATTTCGGCAGCATTTTCTTACCCCAACGGGGTCAAAATGTGCAAAGAGAAAGGAGAGACTAAGAGAAGCACACTAATTTTTTCAATGCCGCGAATTAAAATTTTCAGAAAAATAAGTAAATAAATAAATAAATAGAT